GCTCTTGCTCGCTCCCGCAGTACCGATACTCGGATCCTCAACTGACAGCTAGGCCTGAGAACAGCTGAGCACCCGGGGTCAGAAAGCATTATGGAAGAGGGAGCAAGAGTGAACGGGTCCTACTGTTCGGAACGCCCGAGGACTTGAGCCAGGACGCACACCGCTGAGCTGCTTCTAAAAGTGGAATGGCCGACTTCTTGTGGCTGTAGCTATTGGGCTATGTTTTGATAAAAAACATGCTCGGGGATTAAGAAAGAGTCCGAATGGCTCATGTCTCAGCGTAGCTCCGGCGTTGCTCTGCGTGTGGACGGGGAAGCCTGGGAGTAATACCTCGAGATCTGAAAAAAACTGCTCTTGGTATGTGATTCTCCAGAAGAGCCCTATTTGATTGTGTTAATTGGGTTTGGATGTTTTGCCTCAAACATGCGTGGGGCATTCCTAGGCGCATGCGATCCTCCGATAGGAGTACTTGGCCGTGCCAAAGTAGTGGGATAATTATGTACATGGCGTGTTTGCAATCCCCCTTGATGTTTCGGGGACGGTGGTTAGCCTAGCTGGGAGGCCTCTTGCTGTCAGACTCTTTAGACTAGCTTGCTTTGCAAACCGGACGTGGGGGATATGTCAGGGTTTAGCTATTACCTCGGTCTGTAGGATTCTGCGGATAGCTATCTCCTGCAGGAGTTTTTGGTGATTCTATGCGAGAGGGCATTGTTTCGTAGAATTTGCAAAGGAGAGCCCAGCAAGGATTCAGAACTCGGAGCAAGAGGTGATGGAGGCGAGGCAACTTCGGTCAGACGAGATATGGCAACAGATCCCGCCCACAGCGTTGAATCCTCTGTAGTCAGGCTTGGTTGCGCAGGGCTCCTGGTGTCGTTGAAGCGCAACGGTTTCCGCGGGAAAGGGCAAAAGGCAGCATGTGAGTCGGAGCCAGGGCTCAGATTAGAGTTTTTGGATTTTCGGTGTAGGATTGGGGCTTACAAAGTTGGACTGGCATCTCTAACTCTCTCTCTTCCCATCTCCAAAAGACGAAAGCATTCCCGCAACTAACTCTGCATTTTGGGGTTTTCTAGTGTTGTGCCATTTAGGGGAACGTCTAGGATAGGGTCTGGCATAAGAGATCAGGTCGCTAATTACGGGACATGGGCGGCATGGCAGTGCTCGGGCCTATTACCCCATTTAGCTTGTCATTGCTCGGCACATCCGCTGTAGAATCCCCAAGAGGGAACCCCCCATACTCCCGGCACCCTATCCTGTAAAGCCCCAGCTGGCTTTTTGAGGAGGAAGCGGATATTTTTTTGGTAAACTGCACCATGGCCTTGGAACCGCGGCACTACTTGCTCTGGAGCATTAGGGTCCTGTTTCTTTAAACTGTTGCCGGTTCCCCTGCTTAGGTTGTTGCAATATGGGCCCTATTCTTCAGGGGAACTGAGCAGCCTGTACTATCATAGGATGCCTGCCTTCACCTCTGAAAAAGTAACACGTTAAGAGTGGTCTCTCAAAACTGCAGTTCCTTCTTCAGGGTCAAAGAAGTGTTGGGGTTCTATTCGCTTGATGATCACATGGGACCCCGTTTTGGGATCGCAGAACCTCCCGGGTTGGAAGCAGGCGTGAGAAATCCTAAAACCCAAATTCTCGACCTGCGGCTCCCGAAGCATTGGCTCTCATTCGGTGCTTGGTACGGTGCATGCACTAGCACGATGGTCTTCATTACTGCGCTGCTGGCTTGGCTTAAAGTTACTATAGTCCCCCTTGAGTAGCTGGTTAGCGAGCAAAATGGCGGCGTGGTATAGGGATTTCCTTGGGATCTAGGATGAGCTTCCCACTTTCGGTTGTCTCTACCAGAAGATACACAGATTCGTGAATCGTATTTCTTGGATTTTGCGGTGCGGGTCTTGAGGTGCGGATGAGTATCAGCTAGGAGACCTGCCGTTTTCGCACACTTCCTTATCTCACTGAAAAATGAGCTCTTGACCCTTCCAGCCCCAAAGTCAGGACTGAAGGCGGTCCCCTGAGAAATTGGATGGAGCGGAAATGTCTGCGAGATATCCTTGAGACAACCTTCAGCATTCTTGAAGCTGTCTTGTGCATCATTGACCCGTTTTGCGCTGGAAACGTCATGTATGCCTGAGGCCCATGGTCATCCTAGACATTTTTGCTCCTGTTCAGTCCTACAACCCCTAGAAGGGAATCCAAAATATGGACCATGGGAGTTTCTCAGAATAGTCTGTACTTCTTCTTTAATAGGCCCCCCCCCCAACAACCTCTGTCCGCCAGGGTGCTGTTGTTTCCGCAACCTGCACAGCCACCGCCACCCTGGCAGGTGTCCAGGGCCCAGATGCAGTAGATTACAGGAGGAGGGGCCCCGTCGGAGCTGCAGAGGGAATACTGGGATCATGAGGGGGTTCTAGGGCTCCCTAAGGACCTAATTAGGGATTACCCTTTCTCTGCTTGGAAATTCCCATGTGTTTTCCGTTCAAGTGAACAGGGCAATTTGCCAGGAAGCTTCCTCTCTCACAGCCTACACATCCTTAAGAAGACCAGAAACGGAGAAACATGCAAGGCAGATTCCCTTGAGACTGTCTTTCTTTCTCCTGTCATTGGTATCCTGCCGTTTCATGCATTTCCGTTGTCTTAGGGGTGATTCTGGACGCAACTTGTCCTGAAGTTGGTAGTTCCAGGCTAAATTGAAATCACTATGAGGGTTTGATAATGAGAAGGATGGAGGATTGAAACTGCTGTAGTATATTCGGGTTAATTGGGATAATGGAAAAGAAAATGGAGACTGCCATATTATATAGGATCTACCAAATTAGCCTTCGATCGTTCGGAACCCCTTGTCTGCACAAGACAGGGAGCCACTTCGCCCTGCACCGCTCCATGTGAAGCTCTGGTCCCTGTGCTCTATTATATGGAGCCAAGCATAGCTAGGTTCTGGACTAGAACCATTAAGGCACGACGCCACTTGGGTTAACCTAAACCCTACACCCAAACCATCCTAAACCCTACGTAAAACCTACACCGGGTGGGGACTCTAAGCCGTGAGCCAAATAAGGTCACTGCTGCAGCGGACGTTGTTCGAAAGAACTATGCTCGGGCCTTGGCTGTCACCCTGCAGTTAGTCCGAATCCCCAATGTGCGTTCATACATTTGTGCCCCGAACCTTGGGAAGCTTTGAAAGTAGACATGCAGGCTGTTAGTTAAGCTGCTCGGAGAGAAAGTCTTTTCAGCCTTTGGCGACTTTGAAAAACTGCTTCATTGAGCCTCAACTCGCTCGCGCAACATGCAGACTCGAGCTTCAGTCTTCCTAGGCAGTGTACAACATGCTAGTTCCTCAACTTTGGGCACAGGCACAAGCTTTCAGATCTAGAGCTAAAGACTTGAACGCCCGAATCCGTTGCTGGGATGTCTGGACCACCTGCAGCCAGAAGTACGAAATCTAACACATGTTATTTATCCCACACCAGAAGGGTGAAATGCATACCCTCATGTCCACATCCCGCTCTGACTCCTGTAAAGTCCCCAGATTCTTGAAGTACCTAAGTTCTGCTGGCCTTACAGTACCCCCTGAGATCCACAGTCTGATAGCTTAATCCGTGCCCCAAACTTCCCATGTTTCTCGATTTGCGTGGGTCCAGGGTCCCATGGTTCCGGGCCTGCACATTCCAATCGTCATATGGGCTCCCCATCCCTCGGGCCCAAAAGGGGGACCCCGTCTACTGTTCCGAGTTGAGAGGGAGAGGGAGAGAGAGATTTACTGGTTCTTAGTAGGGAATAAAGAAGTATAATCCCTATATGATCCCTATATAGTATTTCCCTTATGCCCTGGGAGGGGTTGGGAGAGCTTGGTGAAAGAAAGGTCCTTGACTTACTTTTCCGCCGCAACCCTGTGCGTCGTACCTCCGTACAGGCGTTCTGAGATGCCAACTCATGTCTTACTGGAGGTTAGTAGGGAATACGTGAACACATATTTCAGGGTTTGGGGTTCAGGGTTTAGGGCCTAGGGGCAGGGAATCAGGGAATAGCGCATATAGAAACTATATACGGATCATATTCCCTAATTCCCTGCTTCAGGTTTGATAGGGTTTCGGGTAGATTCAGCCAATGATCGTGGGGTGGGTGACCTTTCTGCCTGCAATTTTCCATAGCTACGGTCAACACGCCTTTTCTGTCAGCGGTTCTCTTGTGCAGGTGGGTTTCGAGGGGGTGACTCCACACGCATTTCGAGGTAGTAGGTTTTGTCCCGCCTTTGCGCAGAACGGATTGGGAATCTGGGCTTTGGGAGATCGCTCTAATGAACGCTTTTGGGGTTTTGGGAGGATGACTTGGTCTTCAGCAGTAGGGTTTGCTCAGCTTGCTCCTTGGGCTGTTGAAAAGGCTCCCGCCAAAGCCATGCCTCTCAACTTTGCAAGCCTTCAATGACATCTGGGGGGTTCCCAGAATTACGGGTACCATGTTGGGGGTCCCCACAAAGAGGATTACAGTATTGGGGGTCTATATTAGGGTCCCCTTTTTAGGGAAACGACCATCTAGGAGAATGAGCCATGTGAACGTGCCTGCGAGGTTGGACTTTGGAATAGGGCCGATGTGCAAGAACCCCTGTACTAACAACATCCACGTGCAGTTCATAACATAAATTCAGGTGGATTTTATGGTTTGTCTGATCTAATTTGTATAGAAGGACTATAATCCTACTTGCTTCAACCACCCGAAAACGCTACTCATGTAGGATTTTCTGCGTCACCTGCGTCTCTATCATTACTATTACTACAATTACTATTGTACTATTGTTGCTGTTAATACCATTTAGGTTCCTTAAATCCTTAAATTATACCAGTTCCATTTTCCATTTTCTTTTACATT